CGATTTCGCCTTACGAACCTCGTTTCAACATTCCTTTTCGATTTCGAAGGCTTTCTATGTTCAGCCTTCTAGGGGGGAGCTCTGTAGCGCCCAAAAAGATAACTCTTATCTTTCGTGTACAATTTACTTGTTGACCGATTGTACATTACTCCTTCTTGTTTTAATCTTACAACCGGCTCGACACACAACTGCCTTGTAAGTTCCCGCGCTCACGTGTACGCTCTTGCCTCGCTTCATCCGTCCGCTTCTTGTTGTAGCCCATCGAATACAGTCCGCTGTGTCCGACTCCAATTGCCTTCTGATATCCGCGCTTAATTCCGCGCATCGTCTCGGACTAGTATTAACTAGTCCTACAGGCCCAACAGCAGTCTGAGAAGCAACGGTCGTGAGGACAAGAGTGGTGTTAACGGATTAAGCGTGGTAGAGTTCGACAACGAGTGTTTAATCTTGTCAACTACGGGCTCGAATTCTTGTGACTTGATGTTAACGCATTACTGCCGAAGTTTAAGATTTGCTCCGTTGTTGCATATGTTACGGAAAGCGCTGGGGAGATTCACACAAGGTTTATGTATAGAAAATTGGGATTATTTTAGGAAGTACGATGACTTGTTTAATTGCCTTTCTTTAAGGGCGAGGGCAACTCATGATACCGTGACATGGAAATTTAGCAGAAAACAACAAACCGTATTTTGTGAGCAAAGACACAGTTGCAAAGCTGATGTGGCAGTGTTTATTATTTCTTTCAAAGACAGTTTTTCGCTATCAAATTACATCTCCTCTGCATTTACACAAAATGTATTCCATTGTTCTTGTGTGGTATGCCACAAAACATGTTTCGTATAGTGATATTTCACACACTGGGTGGAGTAGATCAGCTTTGTTCCAACAGGACGGCATCTTTGTCTGGACATTGATTCCAAGTGTTTAACTTACTGCCGTTTGCTGCTTGGTGTAAGAAGATACTGTGTGACATTTAATTCTACGAGATACATCTGCAAGTGGACTTCCGTGCCAGTTCGGTTGAAGGAAGGTCTCATGCTGGTCTTGCTCATGTGTGGGTTATTTTAACTACAAAAGCCAAGCATTGTCCATTACAACAACAAGAAAAGCGAATAGCAGCCACCACCACTATTGTTAAGTAGAACGATTTTATTTTGACCGCCACTCTGGTCCAATCGCTCTGCTTCCCCAGTGAAGTGTTATACCTGCTAACGATAATAACCGAAAACGTAAAGTAGGCGACGCAACTGTTGCCGCTACTGGCTGGCATGGAGTTCCCCTGTTGCGGATGATTATAACTAGATCGACAATTTCTAGCACCATCTCCAAAACAGCGGTGGTACGAATAGAACTGGCGTGCCGAACTCCTGGTGGGATTAGGTCTAGTTTGATAGCCCATCACAAATCAATCCGCTAGAGTCATTCTTCTTAGCCGCATTGACCGTGGATTCAGCATACACACTGCGCTTTAAAGAAGCATAGGTGGATTGTATCGGTTATCTCGACCAGAGCGTCCAAAGAGAAATCCGCTGTAAATGCAGCAAGAAGAGATAAGGAGTCGTCAATCTCAGTGGAACCGATAAATGTACGCATGTGTCTGAAGAGTTGAGGCCGCGTCTGATCGCCTAACTCAATCTTGGAAAATGCTGTCGCAGTCTAGCTTCGTCCGAAGACGTGGTACGCCTTAAAACAGCGGCTTGGAGCTTATCCTAAGGCGCATCAATCGGAGCAGGATCGAGCAGATCTTTGAGGTCAATTACGATATGGGTAGGAAGCTAAACAGTATCTTGCGGGAATATCAATAACTGCAAGATCATGTGAAGGATAGATAAAAGGGCTTCCAACTGTGAAAACGCAACATGGGGATTTGATGAATCAAAGGTAGGCAAGGAAAGACTAGCAAACATTGCTGAAATGTCGATGTGGGAACCGGTGAGGTACTGTGGCTGAATCTTTCGGTTTGGATGTTTTTCTAAATTTATTCGCCTAATTGATTGCCGGCATAGTGGTATGTGGGCAGGGGTGTAGCTGGGTGGACAGACTTTAGATGACATTGAAGTTATACATGAAATGAAACAAGGATGCGTTTTAGACCTCACCCTGTTCAATATCTATCTGACTGTCGTAATGTCTAGTGCATTCGGTGCACTTCTGGAGCACCGCATTTGTGTCGACTTACGAATTACCGTCGCTTTGGAGAAAAGACCCCAGTGCACGAAACAACTAGCAAGATGTTGCTGTTCACCGACAAATGTGCATTGTTCGCACATACTGAGGAATAACTGCAATGCCTAATGACTACAGTGACTCCCAAGTCGACCTTGTCTGAACTGAGCATAAACAGGCAAGTCTGTACGCCATTTACAGCTACCACCGCGAGTGGGTTCGATGTACGGTACAGAAATATGGATTCCTGATAGAGTGGTACAGAACACGTCTGCAATCTGGGGAGCAGATAGTCAACACAACTGCGAATTACCGGCGAGTTGCGCACTCGTGTAGCGAAGGCGGCTTTTAGGTAACTGGAACATCAGGCGTGGAAAAACAATCGCCTCACCGCTAGAACCAAGATGGTAGTGTGCAAAACGATGATACTCTCAGTCCTTATCTATAAGCCGGAAACGTAGACATTGTACAGTAAGGATATCCGCTATCCATAAGCAGTGTCTGCGCCGAATTCCTCGCACCCACTGGCGGTACAATGCGCCTAACACTGACGAGATACGCCGGAGCGACGTGTACACAATGGACCGCCTGCTACTGCTGAGACACCTCAGGTGGCTTGGATATGTGCGCCATATGAATACGACCGGGACGCCGAAGCAACTGTCGGATGAGCAGCTTAGTGCGGGCAATCGGAATGTAAGCAAGCCAAAGTTACCCTACCGAAACAATATGAAGGTTAGTTAGTTCTAATTAAATATAAACCTAATAGGGTAGCAAGGAATCGCCTATATTGTGAACACATCATGCTGACCAGTGTCCAGAAGCAAAAAGACAGCTAGTGCGTCGAGAACAAAATTGTGGGATACGTAAGCGTTATCTACTGGCGGACTACAGCTCATCGGCTACTTCCACATGGAGCTGTAGTGCATGCGGATGTGGGTGCCACGACCCAGTCACCAGCCAGACCAACAAAGTAACTATATGCCGAACATCACGAAGTCATGTAGCCTCTGTTGGGACACAACATAAGAAGGATTTCTTGACGCATCAATTATGAGTTAACAAATGCAAGGGTTCAGGTTAATCGGCAAACATGATGAAGAAAGGTGAGTCAGAACGGAATACCTAATCTCCCGTAGCATCAGAGGTGAAGTCATTTCCGCTGACACTAAACGGACTTAGGCAGTGCAGCGACAAACATTCATAGTCTCTGCGCAGACGTTCCGTACTTGTTACAAAAAGTGGGACATTCCCAAGCTAATCTGGTAGCCGATGCCCCCTACAAGTGCCCCCAACCGAGGTTGATGTTGCAAACACCATGCTTCTTCACCGCAGTTGGGTTGCACACGTGATCGTCAGCCCTCGGTAACAGTAGTAGAGCAGCAGACCGGTAATCCGTATGTCCCGGGTTCGATTCTCCGTCGAGGCAGATTTCAAACGTGGCTTCTGCCTTCTATAAAAATTACACTACTCACAATAACCACCAGTAACTTACAATTACCCCTATGACTTGCTCAGTACTGTCTCTGTCTTGCAGTTAGCATGCATTTCGCAGTCTACTACGGTCTCATGCCTTGTCGCGACATATTCACAGTTCAGCGCAAGGTTGCGCTTGATCTGCACTCACTGACGCGGAGCCACGCGACAACGCAGAGGCTCCAATCAGTAAGCTGAGTAGCGCGATGGACAGACAGTCAGATTATGCCACGAAACGGGGATCCAAAACACCGGCTGGAGAGCCAGCCGGAATACAACTTCCGTTCACGTTTTTTGTTAACACCGTGTCGTATTAGGTACATACCATCGCGTTTGCGAGCTCTCATAATTTCACAAATGATTGTTAGCCCTGCCTCCAATCCCAACCAATGTGACGGTATGCCCTCCCATTCAGTTTGTGGTAGTTTACACTCAGATGGTAATAAATTCATGTGAGTGTATGTGATTGTGCAGTTGCTAAGATCGAGGCTGATGAGGCATATAATGTGCTTTGTCATCTCAATCGAGCTAACCTCGACTGACTGTCGGATGTACGTTTGATAAAGTAGACCTCCCGAGTGGATATGCAATGTTTTTCTGCGCATGTTATGAAGGTCGACAAGGTGCGTATTTGTCGGAAAACCGTTGCCCCCATTATACCTGGTAGAGCAGCGAGTTGGTCGTTGCTTGGGTAGACGCTGTACACGGCACTCATGATCGTGTTATGCCCAAAGGGTGGTTCCATGTGCCAGTATGGAACAGGCTACGGCCCAAACACAGAGTTGTGTACGTTTGGTACTTATATTTCGTGTAAACTTTGAGTGTTTACCTTCCTTTAAATTCCATGCTGGTTGTTTGATATCCCCGGTTCTGCTGCGCTTGATGCGATTGTTGACACGTTCCACCTCTATTATACTGGTTCCATGAAACTCTGAATCGTTGCCGGGGAGGGGGTTGCACCGTCCTCGTAACGGTGCGAGGTACAACGAACGATTCCAACTAGTGCGGAGCGGGATACGACCCAGCCACCGCCTTGTGTATGCCTGGTACGCATGATTCCCAAATTAGACAGACAGGAATGCTGCTGATGGACATGGAGAAGGAGTGTGTGCCGGCTCCATTCATGAAACGTGCCTTCTATCTACATGACTTCGATCTGATTCCTTCGAATTTACACCGCATAGACGGTGTGTCAATGGAGGTGCGGGTGGTGCAGCGCAAGTCCCCCATGGTCCCTCCGTAGGTGCAGGCCTTCTATTCGCATTACACTAACTCTCCATATGTAAAACCTTTCCTTGGAACAACACACGAACGCACACAAGTCAAAGGAGTTTAATAATACACACCAGATAAAACCTGTCACAAATATATAAATGCATCAAAAGTAATAACAAAAAGTTTCTGGTATGAGAGACAAATGCAAAGTGAGGATGTATTCCACTGCAAAGGAATGTAAGTATGTTCAGTTGGTCCATTATCTTTCGTCCGCCAATGTGTTCAGATAGAATGATGTGCACTTGAACGTCGCATTGCCGTCTGTGTCCTTTCACAATAGGAAACCAAACCAGGGATGAACAGCTTTCCAAGCACATTTCATGTATTGCAGACCATCGCCACATTATGAGGAAACTTGTCACTTAGATTCCTGCTTCAATTCCACTTGTGCAACTGTGTTATCATTCGAAGATGAGTGTTCAACTGCCGTAATATGGAAAAATGAACCATGAATGAAACGTAGGTTATAAAGTTGCAATAAAAATATTAAGAAAGAAACACAAAGCATACTCACAGTTGCGAGATGCGCTTGGCCTTTGCCTCTGAAGTGAGTGCACTCTGATAGGTTATTTCAGACACACTCACTGTCAATGGGATGTACGGTTGAATATTATTTCTATCCAATTGCAAAGCTGTCTGAAATGATTACGTCGCACGGTCTTCTGACTACGAGTAGTATGCAGAGGTGGGTCCAGCGCTGAAAAAGCGTAAATATCTAGGCTTGCATACCTGATTCAATTGCCAGAAAACCGGTGGAGGACACGAATATTTTCTCACGAAATCCATCATCTCCGTAAGTAGGGGAATCCCGGTTACTGCGAGTAACGTTTGGCAAGCCACGGGGCCAGCATGATGTCCCCTGAGCAAATCACATTTAAATGAGCTCTGTTGTCAGTGTCCGCATTTTTCCGGACAAACCATGGGCAGAACGACAGAAGTGGAAATCTGAGCCGAACGTGTCACGTCAAAAGGAGACAAAATGGTACAGGTTCATGGGATACCAGAATTAAAGCATGACGATAACAGTGAACGACAAAAGCGCGATATCGAAGAGCGGAGGTACATCAGAGAACTCCATTACATGCAAAATGTTGTCGCTTTTGACGTCATCCGTCCAGTTCACTCTCCAAACAACCACAGCAGCGGGCCAAGAATTTTGGAAGTTACGTTGGTTACGCCCGAGTTGGTAAAAATGTCAATCCAAGCGTGACATGACAACAGGAAATTTGGGGCTCCAGATGCAGGTTTAAGACCATTCCTTCGAGCAGGACAAACACCAGTTACAGGTGAGCCAATCTCGGGTATTCCTACCTCAGACAAGCCAATAGTAAAAACACACGTTTCAATAAACGTCAGTAGACCGGCACAATGTGTACCGATCACTCATAGCGAACCGAGCTCCTAATTCGTCAATAAATATAATGCTGCTACACCAACGCACAGGGCCTCTACGCCAAGCTGCCAGAAGTGCGCCTTTGATATGTAACATCAAATTGGTACATCGTAGCAGTGACTGAAACTTGGTTCTCAAACGATATACTAGATCCAGGGATTGAACTCCGTGAGAGGTCAGTCATTCGAAATGATCGTCCATCTCGCGGTGGAGATGTTGTCCTCTATTATCGAGATCACATGAAATGTGAGGCCCTTACCGAACATTCCCTTGTTATTCCTGATACTAGTGATTTTTGTGGGTAGTGTAATTTTCGTAGAAAGCAGAAGTGACGAGTGAGTGAGCCAATCTGTAACATCAGGACAGACTGTGAGCTTATTGGCAATACGTCGCGAATCAAGCAGAAGTCATGTATTAAATTGCGCACCTGACCGTCTGCTTTCGGGAGCGCAGTGGTAGAGCAGCAGACCGGTAATCCGTGGGTCCGCGGTTCGATTCTCCGTCGAGGCAGATTATTGTGCGGCGTTTAATTGTAGCTTCTACTTTCTACGAATATTCCCGATGCATTATTCTGCTGACTGAAGTTCGCAGGTCGAGATGGAGAACCACAGAAGAAGACGAGGGATTCTAGGCTGATAGTAGCTGTCTATAGGCCACCGAACTCATACGCATACAGTGATGACATTCTGTTAAACACACTCCACTATGCAGTTTCAAAAGACACCCTCATTAGCTTACAATGAGCAATTTCAACATAGCTTCAATCGTCTCAGTGTCACCTAATGAGCCCTCATTTAAATCAAAACTCCTTGAATTAATGCAGTTTGTATAATCACGTGCATCGATCAACCAGACACCGCTGTTCAAACAAGCCAGGTCTAATTCTCACAAATGAAGAGTTGATGGTTGTCAGTCGCACATGACCCTCCTTTAGGTAGTAGTGACCATACAGTCTCAACATTTGGTTATATTTTTAAGCCACTATGGCTGAGAAAGAACGCGAAACTTAACGAACTATTAGTATCCCAAGCTTAAGAACCTAGCGACAATCGTCGACTGGGGACTATACTCATAGGTGGGTAAACGACGCATGGAATGAATTGAAAGCCGTAACACCCAAGAGTAATCAGAACACTGGTATAGTAGTAGGAAACCTTTAGTAGGAAGCGTGAAGCAGTACACTACTCAGCAAATGAGCACGTAAAAACTGTTTGCCACGAAATTCACATGGACGCGAGAACGAGTTCCAGTTCGAAAGGAAGCAATGGTGGACGCTGATTAATTGGCATACAAACATGTACGCACACAGGTACACGTGCTCCTAAGCAACAACCTTTTCGGCTGAATAGTGGTGGATGGATGTGACATGACCAGTGACCGTTTCAAAAGGTAAAGTTAATTGGGTCATACGAGCAGCCTCAAAGGTCGTACCATTATGGGTATCACGCCGGACCAACAGTTGGACCCGAAGCAGAACACGTAAGCGGAGATTTGAAAACAACATACACTAAGCCCATGTGATACCACATGGCAGAATTACAAAGCAGTCAGAAACGACTGCACGTCACTTATTAGGGCGGACAAGTACGAATGGCAGGCGACCATGGTACTCAAGTTTGGGAGTAACAACAAACTGATATACAGGTATGTGAACGATAAAAGAAAGGTTAAACCTGAAATACCACCACTCAAGTCGCCGAGTGGCTTGATGACTACCGCTGTGAATACCACGAAAGCTCTGCTCATGCAGTTTAGCTCAACGGCTACAAATACCATAGCAATCTATGCTCTATCAACTTCCGAGCAAGGTCGTCAACTTACTCCGTGTCATTTTTATCCCAGAGGCTGTCGTAAATAAATTACAGTCTTCCAGAAAAAACAATGCACTGGGAATCGATAAAATCGGCCCAAACGTACTTAAAACTCTTACTCCCACCATAGCAGTACATCTTGCAGCGTTATTTTCCAGGGTCTGCTTAACTCCCATACATTCCCATCTGAGTGGAAAAATGGAATTATCACCAATGTACGAGGTAAGCGATTGGATCCTGCCAACTACCGACATATTACTCTCCTACCTGTTTTATCAAAAGTGATGGAATCGGCAATCTCAGAGGATCTGACGCGATAGTTTGAAAGTCTGCAAATCATTTCCAATGTCCAACATGGTTTCAGATGCAGACGATCTTGCCTCACCAATCAGTTCGTTGCCCGGGATTTATGGACCAGAACAGCTGAGGAAGGAGTCCCCATAAATGTGGTGTACATAGATTTTTCTGAGGCATAGAACAGGGTCAAACACTTCGTTCTCCTCTAAAAGGTTGCCGCCCGCACTATCAACGATTCGCTGATCACCTGATTGCAAGATTACATACGAGACAGAACTATCAAGGTAAGAACAGCCAACACTCACTCCGAAAGCTTGTGCGTATCCAGTGGTGTACCGCAAGAATCCGTCCACGGGCCACTACTGTTATCAGTTTACATAAATGACCTCCCAGAAAACACTTTATCCCCAATGCAGATATTTGCATATGATGCTAAAATGTGGAGAGCAATTTTCTCAGCATCAGACCGCGATTACCTCCAGAACGAACTGGATCAGAGTAATGAATGAGCAGAAAGGAACCACTTCCCACTGAACCCTGCAAAGTGCCACCTGCTGACGGTGAGTAGCAGCTTCAGCAACACATCTTCTGAGACAGCACGTTTTGCAACAGGTGACTACTGACGGAGACTTAGGTATCCTCGTCCAAGAAAGTCTTAACAATTCGTTTCAATGCTCGAAGGCAGCGAGTGTGGCGAACTTGAGCTGGAGGTTTTTGAGACGAGCTCTCGGCACCTTTGAGCGACGGCTGGTATCACTGTTGATCAACACATATCTTCGTCCCTTCGATGAATACGAGGTTCATGGTTAAAATGATATATTCGACTCTTGGAGCAACCCCAAATAAAGGCTACCTAGACAACAAGTGGACTATACGGTCTCAGTAACGAACTGCGCCCTCGTTTACTTGTTGTCTCCTCAGAATACCGACGGCTTCGTGGGGAGCTCGTCCGCATATACCGGATACAAACTGAAATCGATCATCCAAGTACATCACTGGTTACCCTAGTCTCTTACAAACAATGTCGAGGCCATCCTCTGAAACTATTGACGCAGTACTCCCGTTTGTATTGTAGGAAGTATGTTTACTCACATGGAATCTGTTCACACTGGAATGCAATAGCAACATATGTGGTGAACGCAACAGACATCGCGACATTCGAGAGGCTTCTGGATTTTCATCTTAGTGCTAAACGCTATACAACAGTGTGAGAAAGTGCGACGTATTTACGACTAATGATTTACCTTCCACGTTGGAGTATTTTTTGACTACAATTTTCTTGTGCGTTCTCCATCCCGTGGGGCTTGTAAAGTAATGCTTTTTATTCCAATATACACCATTGAACTATTGAAGAAACTTGTGTGTATAGCTGCACGCATCACTGACCACAGAACCAAATTGAATCTTCTGGAGAATCATCGATCTCGTGTGGCAAAAAGATACTCCCATCATTGTAGTCCGTCAGCCCGTCGCAGCGAGACTGGACCTTAACGTGGTGCGACGGTTTGCGTACCTTATTGATCCATTGAGTTATACTGGGTGATGCCTCCGGGCACCTTGAGAGCTAATCCTACCAGGTTGGTCAATGGTGAGAGATCAGACTAACTAAGTCTCCTGGTCCTCCAGGTTCGGGGTTTGAAATGGGATGGCGACCATTTCTGTAAAACTAAATCACTGCCACCCCGCTGCCTTGCGGACAGGCTTTTGAGTCAAAGGCTTTGGATGAGGACCCTAATCGCCTTCCTGTCTAGGTCTGGGCGCCCTGGCAGTATCTCAGCCCACATACAACCATGACATTTTCTTCAAACATAAACTTCATCCTGCAACGGCCGTCGCGTAGATTAGCAAGGGTCGCCTTATCTGCTGCATACAGCAGGGTGGATAAGCGAAAACGTGCTACTGCTGGCGCCTCCCTTCTTCCT